CTAAAAAACCCTATGACGATGATAATTTTTTAAAAATTTTGTCCTGTTCACAGTATGTTTTACTTACACTTTACAACAGTAGAAAAACATCAACAAGCTATCTAAAATATCAAATTGTAAGGAATTTTCAATTACTGATGGACAAGAAATTACATATAATGCCTAGATTAATTCCTATGTTTACACCTGTAAGAAACTAGATTCTCAATCATTCGCCGTCCCCCCTTCTAATGTAAAAAACATAGGTATCAAATGAGATATCCAGGTTCAAAATTACTTAAGCTGTGCATGAGCTCCACAGCTAAGCGTACCCTGAGAAAGTTTCCCTTCAGCATTACCTTAATAAGACAACACTCTAAGGTGCAGAGAGGTAGATATAGAAAATGATGCTAACTACAATAAATTCAGAAGCAGTAGGTTCCTTTACACGTGACACTTCTGAGCAAGAAAAAGATTTCATTAAGATGTACACATACATCGAGAGCCACAGACTGTTTTGCCCAGGATTTCTTCACTTGGTCATACATAATTGTGTTGTTGATGCCCAGGCCACAAAAAATAACGAAAGCCTAAAATTAAAAAGAGAAAAAAGAAAAGAAAGTCAATTATAATTCAATTATAATACAAACACAAAGATGAATGCTGGCTTAATCATGAAAAGGAATTGCATGGAAATAGTAGAAATAATCATGCTTAGACAGGTTATTTTGAGAATGCAAGTAAGTCACTGGCCTCAACAAGATGAGAAAGATCAGATGCAAGAAACTTGTTTTAATTGGGATGCAACCTTATTAAGTGAGGAGTTCTGAGAATTAATGTCAAACTACAAATGCAGACAACGTATTCTTACCCCCTCCCTAGAGTAGGCTGAAGCAGCATTCCCCAGAAATAACAAATCCTGCAAAGCATGTTATTGCTACAAAATTGAATGCTTCTTACTTCAAACAGTCGCTGGTCGGCATCATCAAAGGGTTTCCCATCAAGCCTGTTCAACACTTGAGCTACCCCTTTAGAAAGAGTTAATATGAATTATAATCTTCATTCGTTAATTCACAATGCAGAACATTTTATTAATTGGTAACATTTAAAATACATCTTTCAAACTGAAAAGCAGAACTGCAAATATTTATTCTGAAAATCATTAAACAGACATAAACATGCAAAAGTCTGATTGTTTTGATACTAGGACTCAGTTTATGACTTTCAACTGTTATTCTTTACTCTCCAAGTATAATATTGCAAATCTAAAAGTTACTTGCAACGCTTTTCACAACAGCTTAAAAGATCTCTTTGGGAAAGAACTTGAGCACTTTGCTAACAGCAATCATGCAAGTTGTCCCAGCAATTTGGAGTTACTAATATAATTTGCTCAATCAGTACATTCATTCCTAAAATCTTAGTTGGTTTAGCATCATTTTTTCTCATGACTGGTCCATAAATTTATTGAAACAATGAAAAAAAAAAAATGTAATTTCTTTAAACCACTTGAAAAGGAAAAAGCATTCAAAGCTCTTGGCTCTAGCTGAACTAATACCGAGTTCTACTGCAACAAACCATTTCTATTTCATTTAGCTACAATATGCCCGTAGAAAAATACTGTAAGAGCTATCAGCAGTCAAGGGTTCAGTTTCCTTCTACTTCTTTAAGATAATATGCACTTCACAACAAACAATGAGCCATATTTTTAAAAGACTCAATTCCCACATCAGCTCTGGTGAATAAGCTCAAAGATCCTGATCCTGCATGGCACTGAGTGCCTTCAGCAATGCACTACTGATCTCAGCTCTCATTGACAGCCACAACACACAGGGATGTAAGTCTTGCCCTGCCAGTTTAAATTGCTATCGCTTTGACTTGAATTCTTCTGTGGAAAGTTACAGAGGAATCTGGCACTGTTATTGACAAATGGTGCTCCTTTTTGTGCCAAAAGCAAGTTATAATGCAGGGCCAATTGCAGGTGCATCATAGCTGAGAAGCATCCTATCAAACAAGCAATCAAACCCTGTCACATCCTGATCCAGCATACACCACAGCCACAGGCAACTCTGACAGCTGCCACAGCCTCTCCGGTAAGTCTTCCCTGACTGTAGTTTATCATTAAAGAGGAAAATGACCACTTTGCTGGACTGCAGAAACAGTTGCCTGAGTTGTGTACAAAAAAGGGAAACCCAAGAAAAATATCAAAGCGTATCAAACATTTTTCACTAATATTGTTAGAATTTCAGTTTTCATCTCATTAGTCTTCAAGTTTCAATACAATATATAACTTAACAATGACACAATGGGCAAGCTGAAAAAGTCCATACAGTATCCAAGTCAAAACATCCCTTCTTGGATACTTAGCATGCATCCTAGGTACCGTAACTTCTTAACAATATTCAGCTGGGAAAAAGAAGAAAAAGGAACACAGAATTAAAAAGACAGAATTAAATTTACACTAGCACAAAAATGATGCAGCTATGAGGAAAGTCTTACCAATTATTTGGTGGTTGCTATTCCATATAGGAACACACAGAACAGACCTTATGTGAAAGCCAGAAATCTGGTCAGCCTACAACATAGAAATGAGAGCTTCCATTAGCGATAGGTACCATTTGCAGCCTTTTACATTCTAGTAATAGAAATGTCAAGGAGTAAGTTTAGATTTACAAATGTCATTCCATGTGGATCAGCTCTCACTCAGAAAATTTCTGCTGAAACCTCATTCACAGTAAGATTAACCAAAAGTCATTATTCTAAAAATTGCCAAAGAAAATACAAACATCACCATCTTTGCCACAGAAAGCTTACAATATTTGACTTTGATTTGGAATTAAAGGCAAACTGCAATTGAGGCAATGTCCAGACAGCTCCTGGATTACTTACACTGGTGGATTAGTAGAGACAACCTCCACTGAATAAGTGTGCCTTAGAAATACTCTTCCCAATTGTCAAACTGAAATTGGATTTAGCAAAGCAGCTATAAAAGGGGGCTTACAGGAAATATGCATTTTCAGAAGAAAGGCAAGAATAAGTAGGGAACTGTACACAAGTGCAAGCTAGGAAGAAATGGAAGGATGAGGTCAAAACCAAGATTTGAGATTTTTTACGTAGGTTTAATTGGTCCTGTAGTTCTGAAGAGAATTTTCTGCCTCATTTATTGTTTTCTATCTAATATAGTACAAAACTTTGCAATTTATTGTAAGTGTCACTGATTCTCTCTTTTCTATGGTTAATAAGCTTTATTCTTTAGGGCCATTGCTGCAAAATCTGAACAAAAGAAAAATATTTTTTCCAAAGAGATTAGAGTAAGAGAGTAGGATGAGCCCACTCACAGGAGATCAGGAGATGTTCTCTTACTAAAACTGCCAGTGCTACAGGCAATCTGTAATAGAAGAAAAGACCAGCAATAATTCATATACTGGAGGCAGGATGGGATCACTGTGATCTCCTAGCTAGCAGAAGACATAACTGAGGTTTTACTAGAGTACTGCTTATTTGTACATACTCAGAACCCATTATCGAAATCAGTGTGGAGTGCCACCTAAAATCCATGGGAGTGGGGGAACAATTGCCTCAGATGTAGAACTTAAAATGAACTCAGTGAAAATACTTTGGCATTAAATTCTCAGTGAAAGAGCTGAAAATCGAGCATCAACATTTGAAAACGACAATTAGTGTTCTGGGAGAAAAAAGAGCGTTTTTAATAGAGCAGAGAACAGAATATCTGTTCATAACTACAAATGTATGTTTGATTCTAAGTCATGAGGAATAATATGTTCCTCTTACTACACTTGACTGTCTGTCAAAAATAATTGATTGTAACAACTGAATTTAAGAATTAAATTTCCATAGGAAGCCACCAACAGAAAATAATTACTGCCCTTTGTATTAAGTGTTTTCTTTTTCTATATATAAATTGGGCAGTGCTGCTAACTTGGAAAGGACTAACTGTGAAACAAGTAAGATATAGCTGAATTATTCAGGACATGATATATTAAAAGTACAAGTGCAAACATATCAAGGATTGGCATGCTTTATTTTAGCATATCTTTTTGGCAAGAAATAGACCCCAGGCATTAATTGTACTTTTTGAAATTCTGAACAAATTAGCATCAACACAGTTTTCTTGTACACTTTTACAGCAGGCCCCTTTTATTTTTCTTGTTTTGACAAATTCTGCTGGTTTGAGAGATAATCCCTTTAATGACACATGGAATAAAACTGGAACCAAGCAAACTCTCAACATGAAACACTTCCAAGCACACTTATTGCACTAATATAGTTTGGCATGCTTGCTGACCAAGGCTGTCCACTGATTAATGTGCTGCCCAACTGCTGGACACGTCCCCCGTAGTAATACTGTTTCACTGGATGGAATTCAGTGAAGATTTTGTCCTTCCATGTGCCTCTAACATTTATTTAGGTGTTAAGTATACGTATATGTTTTTATCTGTATCTACACCTTCCTAACTGAGGCTGGAATTAATACCTTAGGATACACAAACAACTTTTATTAGGAGTGATATGTGTCTTAGAGAAGTAACTAACCCAGTGTGTATATTTTATTTGTGCAAATTAAAAGGTTAGTTGGCTAAGTTAGATCACAACAACATTTGTCTCTCTAGATACTGGTTCTGTTTACACTCTGTGTGTGTACAGCCCCTGTCACCCCAACAGCTAACAACGATGGTGCTGCTAACACTGAGCACCAACAGTGGAATTTTCAGCAATAAAAATCAGTTTGCATAAATATCAAAGCACTTGATAGAGGAAGGTATCACTTATAAATAGAAAAAAAGTGAATCATGGACAGACTAAGTAACTGCCTAAAATCATACGCTAATTCAGTAACCTGTGTTTACTGTATAAAGCCATGTCAACACCAGCAGGTCAGAAGGAGGACATACTGGATAGAAAAAATAATTCAATATAAATATTCATGTTTTACGGCCACTTGGCTATAACAATAAAATTGTGTTATATTGGTTGCAATGCCAAAAATGTGATGTATATTTACATTTCTAAAAATCTCTTACTTCAGCATCAAAGCGAGGATCCTGATAGGCATCACTGATGTTCACTGGAAGACCCGTGGAAGCTACGAGTTCAGCAATGCTATTATTTACTAGCCAATCGGAATAAGATGATGATTTCTCCACGCTGTCTTTGAAACTATCAAAAAACATAACACGGGAAGAAAAGAATACAATCAACATTGCTTGAAAGTCCAGCATGTCTTACAGGCATATTCATAGGAATAGCAGAACCATTCACATTAATGGTTACTAAGCATTATCTATGGAACAATAATTTGGTATTTATTGAAATGGTACATCAAAAATTCTCTCCTTTACACAATTCTTTCTATTGAAAATAGCATTCGTCTCCCAGGTAAAGTAAATACAGCATTTAATAATGAAATGCTTTTACATATGAACCAAGAGTGGGATTATGTTCCAAGTTTCTGTGGGATACAGGCCCGCTCATCAAAAGCAACAGTTCTAAATAATATTTTCTGTAGAGCTACCTGAAAGTATATAATGTTAAGATTTTAATTTTTCAAATTATTATAATAATTTGAGGTATTTTTAATTCATACCTCCAATAATTTTCTTGTCAAGGGAAATACCATTTTTTTTAATTTTGGTCTGACATGCCAGACCCAAGTGGCTGAAGAAGGGATCATGAAGTAAGTCTTACAATCAATAATGTAAGTGTGTTGCAGCAGGTGGATCCAAGTAGACATACAATACATTAATGTTTCCTTTCTTTTTTTTCCTGTCTGAGCTTCTGCCACAACTACTGATGGGCTAGAGAGCTGCCAGTAAATGCGCATAAGATGCCAGATTTATGGGCTCAACTCATCACACTCCATCACAGCTTCTCCAGAAAACTCAGTATCTACACAGACCTTAAAGTCCTCACCTTGTACCTCATCTAATCAAAAAAAACATTGACTTATTGCAGACAGGTTTTTGACATTGGCGAGGGGTAGCTATTCATGTGTGAATAAACAAATGCATGTTGTCTTAGTTTTGAGAAGAAAACTGATCAATTTTCAACACCTGAGAAACATCATTTAGAAAAAAGTGACTCTGAGCAGCCATGGAGAAGCCTACAATAGCTTGAAGCTTCAAAGTAATGCACATGAATGAAAGAAGGATGCACAAGGAAGACTCAATCAAAGTGAAAGGATTGATTTTTGTTGGCTGCATTGATTTTTCTGGAGACTAATTCAACTAAGTCACTCACTTGAAAGAAAACTCAATATTCTTAAAAGACTATAAATAAAGATAATAATAATGATTTACACAAATAAATCTGTCTCAACTTTCATTTGGGATAAGAATTTTGAGTGACTGTAATAAATGTTATGTGTATACTTTGACAGGAACCTTTACAGAAATATAATGTATTTTGAACTAAGTAAAAAATTCATGTTTATAATTTAAAATCTATTTCAGGACATCAATACTTGAGAAGCAAAAGAATCTTTAAGGATAAGAATCTGATTTCAAATGCATAGCTCCCAGTTCATACCTTAAAAATCTGGATGATATTATATTATCATCCAGATATTACAAGATACTTTGCATCAGGACTGGATTATGGGTGTCAAGCATTTTAAGCAGCAAATGAATTCAAATAAAAGAAACAAGATATAATTCAGGAAGAAGTTTTAAAAGTGTGTTCTACTATGTTGTCTCCATTCCTAACAAGTGCTTTACAACTACACTCTGGAAGAGAGGCACTCAAATTTCACTAGGAGGAAATATCAATGCTTAATTCTGATGCAGATCACAGCCAGCTGGCGCTCTCTCCATCCTCAGCAGCTCAGAACACTCAGAAACTACTCTAAGAATCACAAGCAACAATTTTCTCCGAACCGTGGAAAGTCATGAGTGAGTCCTGCTGGACTGATGCAGGCAGCTGCATGCCACCATCTTCCTGTCTTGCCCACGCACTAGCAGGAGCCCTGCATGCCAGGCACGGAAGTAAACCCTGCTCAAGAGCACCAAACAGTGCTGCAGGCTCCCCTTAGGCAGCTGCTGGCCTTGCTATCTTCCCCAAAGCCTCCCTGACCGGGATGGCAGAAAGCACAGTAGGAAAGCAGTACAGCCAAAATCATGGGTGCTTTTTATCCTCTCTGAACAGTGACATGAACCCTTCCAGCTCCTACGACTAGAAGAGCAGAAAGATGCCTTAAGAAGCATAAAAATACTGCAGGGAATGGGGTGATACCCGAGTGCTCATCATCCCAGGGACAGTGGTGGAGAAACAGTGGTCGCAGGGATTTCAGCACTTTCTCTGTACCAGCCCAAATGGGAGGGGGCACAGGTATTTTCTCCCACACAACCCACACTCTGGCCCAGGCAGCTGACCTTTCCACTCAGGTTAGAGAGCTGTAATCTCAGCTACATTATCTGCCAAGATTACATAGCCCACAGTGCCTTCCCTCGGGCTCATCTTCATCCAGAATACATCAGAACTGAACCCTCAAGGCTTCCAAGGTTTATGTAATCTTTTTTCAAAGGGAGAGAAAATTTAGGAGACTTGGCAAACCTGTACATCAAGAACAAAATGATTGGCAAAATAGAGAGCATCAGTGTGCCAATATGGATAATAAACTTGATTATGGTGTGTGCTGGAAAATTGCAAACTGAACAGATAAATACAAGTGTGGTCTTGCAAGGTATTTCTTTACAACCAACAGCAAAGGAAAAAAGATATGAGTATTCATTATAATATTTAGGGACTAAACAGGTGAATTGCTATTAGCCGTACGCAACAAGGGCAAAAGAAAAGCCAATTTCTTCTAAAACTGTGTGAGAAAGTATGTTAGGACAGGAAAAGTTATATTGTCCTTGGAGCTTCTCTCTCTTTCAGATAAAACTTATAACTACAACTGTTCTCAGCCTATAAACTCTTTGGATTTCTGCTAAAATTTCAAAGAAATAATATTTCTCTTCACTGGTGTGAAGATGAAGAAACTCATCTTGCCATTTTTTTCCACATGAAAGGTCTCATGACTTTACATCAGTTAGGGCTGCAGAACGTAGAATGAAAAGGGAAAAACTCACTAGAAAAATGCTCAAATGTCAAGGGCTTGTGGCATTGTTCTGTATCCTAAATAACCTTTATTTTCCCTCTATAGTGCCAATAACTCAAGCTGTGCCTGTGCTAGATCCAAATGTGACATCATATCTGCCAGTCTAACCTCAGTCTTTGTAAAACCAACTTCACTCTTCACTGGATGAAAAATGAAAGAAAAAAGCAATACATCTTTATATTAAGATGCACAAAAATATACCTTTATAAATCTTATAAAGACTAGCTACCAGGTTGCATGTATTTATTCATGTCTCAGACTAAAGTTAAATAATCTTGACTTGACTACATGCAGAGCAGGCTACTACAAATTGCTTTTTGGTAACATGCTAATATAACTATGGTAACAAGAAATGAGCCAGCTTGGTTATCTTGACACCACTCTACATTGTTTTGACTAATCTGGCTACAGATCAAGTTTGAGAAAAACAGGAATAACAACCACATCCCTTGATTCATACTCCTATGCCTGAACAAAAGGAATGTATTTTCACCAATTTAATTGACCTAGGAAAGACCAACTGCTACTCTGAATCTCTTTGTCAAAAGCAATAACTTGTGATTCCCAGATGAATCAGCAGATTATTTATTCATATTTAAACCTTCCTATTTTTTATCACTTGTTTTCCATTTGTCTCACCATTCCCATCTCTCAACTAGTGGATAGGGCATGGAAGAGATCTAGCTTCTACCGATCTCTCTGTGTGGTCCTGGACTCTGCTGTCAGTTTGCACATCTTAAAAATAACACTACCCATTTTTGTAATGCTGCAAGATCAATCCATGAAAAGCATTAAGAATTACGACCTGTCGTAATCTGGAGTACAATGTGCACATTCACCTTAATGAAGTGGTAGCTTCTTACCACACTGGAGGTAAAGAAATAAAGCACAAAAGAAGGCAAATTACCCCAAAATATTTTAAAAAGTTGATTAAAGGGCTTAAATATGGCAAAGCACAAAGTAATCTACATGTTTGCTAAGCTATGGATAGCAAGTTGGACAGAAGGCTAGGTTTATCATTATGGCAGTCATTTGACACAGAAAATTCTAATTCAGAATCAGTATGAATTGATTTGCATAAAATATGATAATAACTGAGTTTGGGCCCTGAAAGATGGGAGAAACCTTCTCACAATAGCCCTGAATCTTCATCCACTCGTTTGGTATGTTGGACATTTTATGTGAACTGTTACCAGGTGTATTATCTTGTAGGAATTAATACAGTAACCCCACATGGATAAAAAGCTCTTTCTGTTACTACTTACAATTAGCCCTTTATCAATGTTTAAATACAGATCCCACTAAGCAACACATATACTTCTATTTTGACTGGGCTCCCAAACCAGATTTAGTCACAGGAACACAATTTCTAGGAAATACATGTTCTCTGAGGATTTTAGGCTTTCTAACTTGATGACAAGAGCAGAAATAAAATTTTACTGGAAACCTTTCAACACAACTGTAAGGAGGCATTTTGTAAGAGATCAACAAACAATCTAAAATAATTTTGTAATTTTTACTTCAGTATTAACTATGCAAAACAACATTTGTGTGTTCTCCATGAGTTTATAACAATAAAAAGTCATCAGTTATTTCCTGGTTTCTTCTCTGAGACATTGATACAATGTTAGCACATATATATACACACACATGTATATAAAAACATAGGCATGTATATTTATTCAAGCAAGTCTCCATTCGAAGCAAGCAGGGGTCTTGCCTGAGTAAAAACTGTAGGCTCACACTCTTCAATCAAATCTACCCAAAGTTCCATAAGAAAATAAAAATACGATCAAACAAATTTAAAACTATGTGAAAAATAAAGTAATCCATTACCATAGAAGATGAGCACTAACCTGTTGTCAGTATCAGCACTGCATTTTGGAGATAACAATTCAAAGGATTTTGTAAATTTCACCACCTGTCACAAAAAAGTAACTTAAAATTGTTATTAAGATGAATAAATATTAAGAAAACAGTAATGTAAGGTTCCTATATTTAAACCATATTTTTATCCAATGGTCTTGGAATAAAAATTCAATCTGTATTCTCCCAATGGAGAATTCAGTTCAAAATACACACTGTGCATAGTTCACTAACAAACAATATCAAATGAAATTATATCTTTAGTTTCCTTCATGAAACTATTTTCTGCAACAGTATATGCTTCCCTTCAAAGGGCTTTGGAACATGAATTACGGAGCTTTACCCAAACTTCACGTTTTTTAATACAGGAAAATAAACAGGAGGACTCATTTGCACTACTAATTGCAACCAATTTTCCTTGAACAATATGTGCCAATAGCACATAAGTGAAACATTTTAAGAATGGTTAATGTGACATAGAACACATGTTCTATGTAATGTTTTTGGATGCTAGTACGAGTCCCCATCTTCCACTTCGGTTCTGTATTACAAAAGTTTTTCACGTGATGTACAAATCACGGTATTTTAGACATGGCTTAACATTGAGTTACTCTATGGAGATCTATTTTGATATATAGGCTAACCCTCCAAAATAAGGGGAAATCAGGAAAATAACTGTTTTGTCACTTGTAAAAATGACCAAGTGGGTGGCAAGGTGCTATTCTCCCACTCCAAATTAACTTAAGATTTATAATTGTTTAAAAAATTTCGAGGCTTAACTGAATACCTTGGCTGTCCACATTTCAGAATTTGGTCTAGAGGGATGAGAACCCATTGCCTGTGGTTTGGAAAAAAAACCATCCGTGCTCAAAGGTAGAAATAGTACCAAGAGCATAAAAATGAAGCGAACGATGCCACCCACAGCCTGCTACTAACACAATGTGCTGTTCTGTAAAAAATAAAAATCATATTATACTTGCAAACATAGTGGCATTTCATAAGAATGTAGTAGAACTGTATCTTGTAATTATAAAATCCATGTGGGGGGTCTAGAAAGAGAAAATAAACTAGAAACATTAAAATTCTGTAACAGAATTTCGTTTATATATAAACGAAATACAAACCTCGATCTTGCTTTTATGAAAGCTAGTGTAATTTAGGGCATACTCCACTGCAAGTACTTAATTTCTATCAGTTTAAATGAAATGAGATTCCTATCTTTCCTCCAGGAAAGAAAATAATTTTTTTTCTGCCATACACATAAACTTATGATTCTCTGATAATCATTTAGACTTGTCACAGCCCAGCAAGAAATAATCAATTACAGAGTCAGTGAATCCAAAGATACTTGGATAGAAAAAACAATGATATTACAAAGCAACATTTTTATCCTTCAACTACTTCTCAAATCAGTAGAAAGGAGGATAGTTTGTGTTGAATAGCCTGAAACACCAAAGGGAGCTACCAATATAAAGGCAGTCACTTATTTTACTACTACTAACAACAGTCATAAAAATGTTAAGCATTTTTAAAGAGGCTCCCATACACTATGAATGGCAGTACTACAAAGTCCCAGTGAAAGCCTCTGTCAAAACTGCATGAAATCCAATTTTTGACAAATACTTTCATATAGCTTATGTCCATCTGTTCAACTTAACAGAACTCTGCAGTGAAATAATTATTCCTCGGTCAAGTGGACAGAGCAATTGCAAAAAACAAACATACTTCAGTAATGCTGAAAGTCATATTTTCACTTCACCTGCTCAATGCAAAAGCTTCTTCCTATCACAAGAACAAGTATGTGACTATCTAGACATTTGTATGCAAATGTGTCTTTTCCAATGGATTTTCTGTTATCTCAGAGAAAAATTACTAGGTCAAAATAACAAAAGGACTTATATTTTCACAGCATTTTCATAATTTAGGAACTGAGATTGGTTCTCGTTATTTATTTTGCAAAGTATTAAAGAAACTTGTTAAAATGTGCAAACATAGCTACTCCGAAACATACCCCTGGCCAGCAGCTAGAGTGGAAAACTTTCAGGAACAAACGAAACCCGTAGAGTAGCGGCCACCAAAAGTAGCTGAGAAACTCCCTGTGTTGCAGGTTCAGCCCTTACTGTCTTGCTGTTCTTCCACATTCAAATACTGGATTTCACAAAAAAACATTCATGAGACAAGCTCAGAAGCTGACTACTGTGAAGACACTGATTAGATTGCTTTAAAGCCCACTGAGTTGCTGAATACACAGGATTGTTGGTTAACAAGTCTTGATGAGTTTATTTTTATCTGTTATTTCTGAGGGACCAGTAGTCTGATTAAAGATGTAACATGTAACATACTAGAATAGAAACTACGTAAGTATTTCAGTTTGCTACAGTTAAACAACAACAACAGATGCAAAAGTATGAACACTGTAGAAATATCAACAAAGATGTCTGATAATTATTTATTGGAAAGTATGCAGAAAAGGTTAGTTCTAAAAATGAGCATTAAAGATTTGGTTGATGATGCAACTGTTTCTGGTTCTGAAACTGCTTGCAAGAAGCACCCATTTGATGTCATTAGCCTGAAAATGTTAGCAAGGTCATAAATTCTGGGTAAATGTAAATGAAGCTACAGACAGGACTTTTCTTTTCTTCTAGTGGCTATACCATGAAAGAAAGGAACCGAGCAAATAAATATTTGATAACAAATCAGGTCATTTTTCTTTTTTAAGCAGACCACAGGAGCACCTTACTTCTCAGTTAAGCTGTCCTAGCTGCTCTGTAGTAAGCACTAATTCCATCACACAGACAACTGAGAATCACACATATCAGATGGATCACACCACTGATAGTTAGATCCATCAGCAACTTACAGACATCCCATTAAATGCCTTCAAATTACCAGAAGGAATCATAAATGTACCTTTCAGTTTCCATTTGAAAAAGTGGCTGAACTGGCTTTGGCTGGGATAGAGTTAATTTTCTTCATAGTAGTTTGCATGGTGACATGTTTTAGATTTGTGATGAAAACAGTGTTGATAACACAGGGATGTTTTCATTATTGCTGAACAGTACTTACACAGTGTCAAGGCCTTCTCTGTTTCTCACTCTGCGGCCCCAGTGAATAGATTGGGGGGTGCACAATAGATTGGGAGGGGACACAGCCGGGACAGCTGACCCCAACTGACCCACGGGATATCCCATACCATATGATGTCATGCTCAGCAATAAAAGCTGCGGGAAGAAGGAAGGGGGGCACTTTCAGAGTTATGGCATTTGTCTTCCCAAGTAACCGTTACATGTGATGAAGCCCTGCTTTCCTGGAAATGACAGGACACCTGCCTGCTGACTGGAAGTAGCACATGAATTCCTTATTTTGCTTTGCTTGTGCACACAGCTTTTGCTTTACCTACTGAACTGTCTTTATCTCAGCCCATGAGTTTTCACACTTTTACCCTTCCAATTCCCTTCCCCATCCCACTGGGGTGGGGAAATGAGTGAGTGGCTGTGTGGGGCTTAGCTGCCTACCGGGGTTAAACCACAACAGTGGTGATAAAGATTCAACCTGTACCTAATGTACATTTAAGAATGATGTGCTGGAAGAATACTTGCTGTTCAGTACTTACATATGATATGAAACAGCTTCACCACAATAAAAGCAGCTGCTCCACCACTCAAATATTAGCCATTCTACAGAATGTGCAGCCATACTTACCGGTGATTCAATATCTTCCAGAAGTAATACTGAGCACCGTTCACACTTCAGCAGAGTCTGGGCCCGATGCATAATTTTCTTGACAATTTTCTCTAAGTCAGTCTGTTCCTCAAAGAGGTCATTCACTACTTCCAGTAAAGCCTGCATACAAGGACAGAAAACTCTTGTATTAGTTGTAGAATTAATAAATACATGGAGCATTGCAAAGGAGGCATAATCTCTGGGATTTATTTTAGTATGAGTGATCCATTGAAATCTTCATCCAAATAAACTTAATGATTATGGCAACTGAATTGGGGTGGGGGTATCTGAAGAAAGAAAGAAGTCAAGTATTTCTTAGCTCACAAGTGGGCACAATCCAACTCCTAGCAAACAATGGGAATCTTTCACTGAAACAATGGCTATAATGCAACTCTCCAACTACGCAGTATGGATTGAGTTACTTGATTTGCTAAACTGAATTTGCTGGTGCATTTAAACTCCATTTTATTCATTTATTACCCATTTTGCATGTTCAAAGCTGGAAAGAAAAAAACCACATCAATACTTCCATATTCCAACAGCACTCTGATCCAGTCTTTACCACTAACAACATACCTGTAAAATACAATGTTTTAAAATGAAGGGCTTCCCCTCTCATTTCATCAACTTGAAAAATAATAGGCCATGTTCTTTCCTACCACGGGTCCAAAGAAGTGTGCTTTTTCCTTTATTCTGGTTTAGGGCACCAGCACCAAAGAACATCAATATAGGTAAGCGTATAAACGTCAGTGGTCTTAGCTTTCCTAATGCAGTGGTCATCAGCAAAATGTTGGCCACAGTCACTGGAAGTTGCCACCATTGGTGTCCAGTTTGACAGGGAAAGCAAAGTACGGGCTTGTCCGTCATATGTCACTTGCCAACTAATTTCAACCATGGACTAGGCAAAGCTAAAGGCCACCAAAAGGTCAGAAATGCAATTAAGTACAGGCCACCATGTAGCTGTCAAATGGCAATGATATTTGGTATGCCTCGCATGGCTGAAGTGGCAACAAGAAACAAAGACTGTGTATCTCTAATCCATTTCCTGATGTGTCCAACCACCAGTATTTACCATTTTCTAATGAAGAATGAGAATGTCCCTAATACTTTTCCGCTGAATGCCTCCCTCAGAAGATTAAATGCCGACTCCTCAAAAGTCTGTCATTGTTCCCTGCAGGCTGGGAATCTACAGCAAATTTTAAGTTTCTATGTAGTCAAACAATTATTTTGTTTGAACACCAAACAAAGAAAAAATCTTTGGCAGAAAATCTTTTTTTTCTGCAAGTCTCCTCCACATCTCCACCCCAAAATATAGTGGTCTGTAGTCAGACCTGGACGGAAGACAAGCTCAGATGCTTCATGACCCTTAACATACACCATTAGAAAGGACTACTGTTAGTTTTCAAAGTAATGGAAAGCATTAGTTTCCATACATGGAAAGCACCAAAATCCTGAATATATAAATGTCAGTGCTCAATACACAGATCTACCCCACTATAGTTTCCCCTGCTTTGTGAAGGAAGAGTAGGTTCAGCACTGCCAGTGGTATTTCTACTGAAGCTTTGCATTATTTTCACTTCTTTGGAGCCTCCTGTCCCAATTCATGCATGGCACCAACAATCATGAGTAATGTGAGTAATGCACATATGCAGACACATGCTGTCAAGGTGCTACACATACAGGTTTTTTTTTTTGCTTACTTTTATAAAGATATATCCATGTTATTTGCACATGAATTGAATATTACAAATTTAGGATGGCAAAGGTTTGATATTACTGGAATTTTATGAGAGTTTGAATCTCTGCCAAAGTAACACACTCTCCTGCAGTGTCACAAACGCAATTGTTTCAGCACTATGAAACATGGAACTGACATCAGGAAACAACAGCCACCACCACGAGCGTACTTCCCTCCCACGCTCTCTGCTTGCTGCCTCAAGTCAAGATAGTGATCTGTTGAAAATGCATTTTTTGAAATAAAACATAGTTAAAACTGTCTGCTTAGCAAACACATATGCATAGCTGGAATCTGAAGGAACAAAAGACGAAGGTTTGATACTGGTCCAATATACTTTTTTTTTACTTACCCTGCTTCTGTCATATTCCTTCCTTGAAGCTGCAAATAGCTGGGCATTGGATATGGCAATCCCACAGAATGGGAGATACATCTGCATCACCTAGTATCAAAAGAAACTCCCAGTCATTAAAAACAACTGCAATTAGATACTCATGTTACTATCAAGGAGACCTAAACTTAAGGTAAAATGTCCCACAAGGGTCTCAGCTCAGTCACTCTTCAGCAGAACACTAAACACAAAACAAAATCATCATGGTCAAGGCACATAAAATGAGTGGAACAGAGATCAAATGGGTAGGAAAGAACAAATGCATTTGAGTTCACAGGTCCCAGCAGTGAGGGTCCTCTATAACATGTCTGGAAAATTGCAGATTCTCAAGTCTATAAAATGTCTGCTGAAGACTACATTAAATTACTGTAGACACTACAGCTTCCCTAGAAAAAGTATTCTTTATTTTTCTGGACTGCTTTTTTGTTGTAAGCTCAAGAATCAAGCTTGAGTCACATTCTTGCTGATTTCTAGAGGATGTAGATTTTTGGAGAATACCAGCACAGTGGAACACAGCACATTGATCCAAAACTATTAGTCAGAAAGCTGATTGTCTTCTCAATGAAGAAAAAAAAAAAAAAAAAAAAAAAAAAAGAAGGTTAAAGAACATGCTTGAGAAACTGGGCCTTAATGCATCACCTTACATTAAGAAAGATTGGACAAGAGGAACTGGGAAAATATTTTGAGGTGCACAAGATGACTTTAGGCTGGCTCTGTGTGAAATGAATAAACTAGGCTAGTCAAATACTTGAATACCTGTAGGACTGGCACTTTCACAAGGATGACAGTGGATCGAAGTCCTATAATATTAGCATTTTTAAGCCACACACTGATAACAAGTCTGTAAGATACTGCCACCGCTGAGTGGTTCCCAAGCTTAGGTCTGAGACATTAAGTAAATTTTATAGGTGCTGAATAGCTTTAACATTTGCAAAGCCAGTGAGAGTTGGGGCACTCTGCTGTTTACAGAGCCAAAAGAATGCTAGGTTAGCAGCAGCTAACCTTTCCTCTCCCTGGTCTGTCGACTGGAAGATCCACTGTAAGCAATCCTTTCTGTGACAAGTTTTGGCATCGAGAAACCAGCATTTGCCTTCGAAATTCCATTTAATGAGAAAATTACTGCTAACACAGGGAAGTGCGCTATTGAGACTATTTGAGGAAAAAAAAACAAGAATTGTAAGCATCCAGAAGAACCAACACAGCAGCAACTCCTGCTCTACTTTATCTTCTTTAAGCACTCCATTGGCTACATGTCTACTTAGTTTGTGTTTGAGTAATGATGAGTTTTCTAAAAGGATCTTCAGATCCTCTGAATTTTGCACCTTCGCAGCTGCTATTCTGTCAGAATAACTGCAGATTTTAAGGGTGCACACAAATACACCTATACTGCTAATTTGCAAACCCTTCACTTTCATCCTCTTCCCATCATGGTCCCCTCTAAAGAAAAATGACACACTTTAGACTCTACAAACACTAATCTTTTTGGAGAGGCAGTAATTAAACTAGCCAACTATTATACCAGATCTTCAGGAAAGAGTACATGAAATGAAAAATAAAGACACTAACAAATCGCTAAGAGGAGATAAGAACTTCTCTGAGAGAATTTTGCATATTTCAGTTCAGATTTTATTTCCAAAATGAAACAAAAAACTTATCTATATTTTCTTGTAATAGTACTAAATGCTGCAGCCAAGTAATAAATGCAGAGCAGAAAAACTTTAATCTGAGAAAAATCTGACCTTTAGTGTAATTATGAATATCATAGTGAGACTGGGTACACTTTTACTTAATAAAAATAAGTAAATACTAGTATTTATTGCCCCCACATTGGATCCTCTATTCCCAAAAATAATGTGACCCTGTGGCAATGGAAAGCATACAAGAGCTTTATGAACCTTTAGCCATCACAAAAACAGCTACCAAAGATGTCTTTTCTAAGCAAGAAGAAAATATCATTTTGCAATATTGAAAAACACTGCTCTCTGAAACCCAAATTCCAAGGCACTGACTCTATATAGAGATTAACATCCATAAAACACTGGTTTATGAAATGTCAAGAGTCTGGAAAGCTGCTGACTTACATCATTCTTTTCATGACTCAAACTAATTTTGTAAGGTGCTGTGCAACTAAGAAAGAGACACCAAGCTGTTTAAGATAATCAGTAGTCGAAATTAATAAATGTCCACAGCTATGAAGAAAAAGAAAAAAAACAGCCAAAAAACAACAAAACAAAAAACACAACAAACCAACTGTCAGATAGGGAGGAACCACCCTGTGATAATAGATAAATCAATTATCCCTGTTTACAAAAGAACAATTGACAAAACAAAAGCCTACTGTCATTCCTCTTTTGTACTTTCTCAACAGTAAGGGTGACTGCAGCCTAAACCGCTTTTGGCAAATTGTAATACAGTACCAAACAAACAAAGAATAAAGACATTTCTAATGGTAACTTAATTTTGATTTTTTTTAACCAAAATTGCAGACTGGAGTAGAAAGCAATTATCACATTCTGACTTCGAATTACAAATTTAAATCTGCAGTACTCAAGACTGCTTTACAAGCACCTCCAACATGTTGATGCTATGGCTGTTGACACTCCATACAAATATGGAGAAACATAATATTCAACTCTTACCTGTCTGAGCCACATACTGTAAGGAGCTGGTACTGTTATGCCAGATTCACTTCAGTGATTTTCCCTCCAAAGAGAACACAAAGAGTTGAGCAAGTGGCACATACCGCCATACGCTGGACCCATCCTTTTTTCCTCCTTTTAAGTGATAGGTATAATTACTAATCCTCTGGTGCCCCAAGGTAAAAACATATTGCATCACTGAACCGTAACGCACGAATTCTATTTCCATTCCTAAAAAAAAAGATGTAACTTATAATAAGCATAAAGCACAGTCTGTATTTACTATCTGTATTCTCCAGCATGGATATGCTTCAGTAGTATAATAAATATAATACTGACTTTTGGCAACAGCAAATAAATTGGGCAGAAGACTGAATTGTATTGAAAGGACAGAGTATTGAAACATTGGTCATAGATACACTATTAAGCAGCTCATGACAGGAAATGACACAGATAAGTGACATGGTTATTTTAATTCGCCTCAATGAGACAAGATCATGTTAAGATGGAGCTGTTCTCTTTTTCCCTGTCTGCTGTTCTTCCTGCAGCACTGAACAGACCAGGACAGCTTGCCTCTATCAGACAACATCTGTGCAGGTTTTCCAAATAGTTTTATTACACAGTGAAGCCAACCTGATGCTGGAACTTGTAAAGGAACCACTGATACCTGGTCCGAAGGTTGAGTATGCAACATGTTTCCATTACACCAGTGCACAAAATATTGGTGTGAAACTCATAGTAAAACACCTACCATACCCTTCTAAAGTACATAAAATAATTTCCCTTTGCTATACTGAAGGCCATTTTAAAAAAAAAAAAATTTGAAGCAAAATGGACTATATCTGGAAATTTCCTTCCATATCTATTTTGAATTAATGACAGGAAAAGAGCCTGCAGAAAAGAGCCTGCAAGGGAAACATAACCCCCATTTTTAAAAAGGGAAAAAAGGAAGACCCGGGGAACTACAGGCCAGTCAGTCTCACCTCTGTGCCTGGGAAGATCATGGAACAGATCCTCCTGGAAGCTATGCTAAGGCACATGGAGGACAGGGAGGAGATTCGACACAGCCAGCATGGCTTCACCAAGGGCAAGTCCTGCCTGACCAACCTAGTGGCCTTCTATGATGGAGTGACTACATCAGCGGACATGGGAAGGGCTACCGATGTCGTCTATCTGGACCTCTGTAAAGCCTTTGACATGGTCCCCCACAACATCCTTCTCTCTAAACTGGAGAGGTATGGATTTGAGGGGTTGACTAACCAGCAGGTGAGGAATTGGTTGGATGGATGCATCCAGAGGGTAGTGGTCAACAGCTCAATGTCCAGATGGAGGTCGGAGACAAGTGGTGTCCCTCAGGGGTCTTTATTGGGACCGGTACTGTTTAATATCTTCATCAATGACATAGTGGGATCAAGCGCACGCTCAGCAAGTTTGCTGATGACACCAAACTGAGTGGCACGGTGGACATGCCTGAGGGATGGGATGCCATCCAGAGGGACCTGGACAAGCTTAAGAAGTGGGCCTGTGTGAACCTCATGAGGTTCAACAAGGCCAAGT